GCGGTCGTGCTGGCGGTCGCGCCAGCGGTTGTGCTTGTGGCCTTGCTGGCGGTCACAGGGCCAGAATGGGCGTGGGTTTTTACGAAGGGTGAGCATGTCCGGAAGCGAAGAGCCACCAAACGGACCGAACCAATTTTTGAGTTCACGTCACGTCGACGGCTGCTTTTTTACTCCGGGGCCTAGGATTCGGGGCGCTTGGTTTTCTGCGGGGAGGCCAGCGTCGAGGGGCCGTCGTGGGTGTGGTTTTCGTAAGGAATGAGCATGTCCAGGGGCGCAAAGCCACCCGGTGGACGTGTCGGCGTATGGCGAGGCGGAACATCAGCGGAACCCTGGAGCCAAAGCCTACGGAACATCAGCGGAAGCCTGGAACGTCAGATGTGTGTGCGTCGTCGCTAATACTGGGAGCCTTGGCGTTCAGAGCTCCGGACGCGATGGGGTTTGCGGGGGCCTTGGCGTTGAGAGCCCTGTCGGGTGCCTCTTGGGGCCTCCAAGGCGACGCAAGTGCGGCGCCTCGTGCTCGACCAGGAGATTGTGTCCAAGCCCGCGTGTTCAATTCAGGCAGCACAAAAAAACATATGACTGAAACCTGCAGATAATCTATGGCACTGAACGCTCTGCTGGACCCAGCGCCGCGTGCGGGGTGAAATCAAGGGCTGCATGTACTTGTTCTGTGCGTCTGTCGGCAGAGGGCGGCAGCGCGAACAATTCCCACGAACCCATGGATTTGAATGGTTTATGAACCTGTTGGGCGCCGTTTCGGGGCCTCATGGGCGGCTTTTCGGGGCCTCTTGGGGGCCTTTTGGGGCCTTTTGGGGGCTTCGGAGCACTTCTTGGAGCCATCTTGAGGATGTCTTGGGCCGTCTTGGAAGCGTCTTGGACTGTTTTAGGCCTTCTTGGGCCGTTTTGGGAACCTTTCGGGCCGTCTTGGGGCGATCCTGGAGGCCCCGTTTGGCCGTTTTGGAGCGTCGGGAAAGGCACGCGAGAACCTGAAAAACCTTCAAACACCATCCACAAACCAATGATTTTTGTCTCTGGGTGCCCTCTAAGGATACCTCTTGGAAGCCTATTGGGGCTTTTTGGGGGCCTTTTGGGCCGTCTTGGGACCAACTGGGGCATCTGGGAGCGACTTTTGGGCGTCTCGGACGCTCTCTAGGGCTGGTCGGACTGGCTTGGTCGTAATTTCGGGCATTCTCGGGGCTGTCTGGAAGGTGGTCCAGAGCTCATCGGGGGGACGGCGAAATAGGTGACGCCTATCCGGTGGTGGGTTTCCCTTATCATTTGTTAGGGAGGAGGAATATGTATATAAATATGTACATACACATGTATGTCTGTATGTCTGTATGTCTGTATGTCTGTATGTCTGTCTGTATGTATGTACGTACGTATGTATGTATGCATGCATGTATGTGTGTGTATATGAATCTATACATATATGTATATATATACAGCTTTGTATATCTCCTTTAGAAGATTCAGATTGAGACAGTGTACCTCTAGAAGAAAATTCTAAGGTGTTAAGCCTCTAGAGGCACACGCTCTCCCTCTCTAGAGTCGCGACCGCCTCTTTCTAGTGCTCCTTCCAGAACCCCGCCAGAGGCCCTTCTAGAGGCACCCCTAGACACGCCTCTAGGGGCCCTTGGAGCCTCCAAGCGCATGCACTACTTCCTCGGGCCCTCTAAAACTTTCCGCACACCCCTCTACTCCTTACACACTTCTAAAGCCCCCAAAATTGTTCTCAGTCCACTTGCGCCCCCTAAGAAACACACGCTCGCCGCTCGCCAACCCCATTTCGAAGAAACAGAAACGAAGGAACAGAAAGAGGAATATACGAGGAAGAGACACAGAAGACGCAGACATATTTTGCTTGCCTTTCGCAGTCTGTCCGCTTTTAGAACCTCCGCGAACCATCGGCTGGATCTGCTTCGACATTCCAATCCACCCCATTCCGAAGAGAGCAGGACGAGGAAGATACGAGGAAGGGACACAAAAGACGCATACATATTTTGCTCACCTCTCGTGCTCTATCCGTCTCCAAAAACCTCCGCGTGCCAACGCCTGGATCTGCCTCGAAATAAAAACCAAACGCTCCCGAGACGTCCGCGTGCCAACGGCAGGGTCCGCCCATAAATTTTGATCCCGGCGCATCTTCCAGGATCGTGGTCTAGACACACCTGTGACTGAGCCCTCCGCTCGATGTTTCAACCCAGGGCCCCCTTCCCTTCCCCGCGGCACCCCTTCCAGCAGCTGCGCCACGTCGACGCCGCTCGGGCGGTGCCCGAATCGCCCCGGACGGCCGCCTAAGGCCCGAGCTGCCGCCTCGAAGTGCCGACCCCGACGCACCCGTGGACGATCCCCAGTTCCACGTTTCATCCTGGACCCTGCGTTCGAGGACAGTGGCTCGAGACGAGTTTTGTGAGTTTCTCGGACTTCCCTCTGTGGAGGTGGCCTGGAAAGTTTAGGTCACCGTCAAGGTCTCGGCGTAGAAAACAGCCCACCAACAACTCCCCCATGAAAAGACTCCCAGCAAAAGGATGTGCCCCCGCACAGAGAGAGAACGCGGTCATCGCTCCCCTGGCCCCTCCTCTGCGATGCCTCACGGCCCACAAACCTCCACCAGCCCATTCAAAAGCATACGCACAGGAGCCTACACAGGATACGGTGGGGGCGCCGGTGAAGGAATGTGCCCAGGAGGCCTCCGACCCTGGAGGATTCCTTATCCGATGAGGGCGGTGGGGATACCCATTGCGGGTCCATAACTGGACATCCACTAGCTTCCAGATCCTGGATTCCTCATCCAAGGCTTCCTTAGGCCCCCGCCGCACGAGCCGCGCTGGCAGATGAGAGCGCCTGTAAACACGGGTGGCTTCCGCGGCCAGCACGGCTCAACCATGTCGGCGCTTCTTCAATGCTCTGGCTGCCAACGCCTCCTGCCTCGAACCTCCTTTCCTCTGACCACGTGGGCCGGCCATCGCGCGGTCGCCAGGGAGCTCCATGAACGTGTTCTGCATGCCTCGACGCTGCGACAACCACTAGTGTTTCAGCGAACTTCCTCCTCTCCGGTCGCCACTCTTCGCCCCCATGCCAGAGCCGCCTAATGAATCAAAGGTTCGACGGCGCAGCGTAGCGAGCCGTAGAAATCTTGTGTGTGTGTATATATGTAGATACCACGGGGAGAATTTGATTCACGACGCTTCACCACAAAAGTGTGCACTCAGACGGCCGACGTACAATGGAACCACGCGACTCTCGCACACAAGCGATGGGATCCAATTGGGCCAATGCTGCGGAAGAATCAGCTCGAGGCCTGGATGTGTATCTGGTGCTAGCTCTGTGGTGTAATCTAGGTGGGGTAAACCCACTTCGCCTCGCCCTCGCTAACATGTGGCCAGCTCCGGTGTCCACTCGTGGACCAGCGTTACGAGAAAAGTCTCCCGAGCACTGCTCCTGGCCAGGTCAATCCTGGGCCTCGGACTGGATGATACGCGCATGCACTAGACCTGGGACTGGGTAGGCCACTCCTTGGCCCAGAAATTGTTAATACGCTCAAACACCGATTCTGGGACTGGCCACGCCAATCCTGAGCCCAAGCTGCGTCCCCCGACCAGCGCCGCGGATCTGGTCCGCTGTCCCGATCATAATTTCGACGCGAGTCTGGTCATGGCGACGAGGGTCGCCCCGAGAGCCTCGAAAAGGTAGATGAACCCGGCGCAACACCAATTAGGGGAACGCTTCCTAAGTAAGTAACTAGGCAATGAAGGTCTTGGTTTGCATTGCTTTGACTTGCATTGCTTTGATTTGCATTGCATGGCGTTAGTTTGCATTGCTTTGCATTGCTTTGCGTTGCTTGGCATTGCTTTCCTTGGCATCGCTTGGCGTTGCCTGGCGCGGCTTGACATTGCCTTGCTTTACATTGCTTGGCGTTGCCTGGCAGCAAGGAGCCAAGACCAAGGACCCCGAGACAGGCAATCAAGAAGCAAGACCAAGCAACTCGAGGAATGCAGTCAGGAAACAAGGCCAGCAAACCTGAGGGAGGCAATCAAGGCAAAAGACCAGACAACCCGAAGAAGGCAGCCCCAACCCAGGGCCAAACAACCCGGGGAAGGCAACCACGAAACGAGACCAAGCTACCCGGAGAACACAATCGAGAAACGCGACAAATCATCCCGGGGACGGCCTGCCGGCGCAGGCCTGGACAAAACCAATCAAGAGACAAAACCAAGCAATCCGGGGAAGGCCGGCCGAGGCCCAGCGCCCACGGTGTCTCCAGAAACAAGTGAGACCCCGTAGGCAAAACCGAGTTGGGCCAAAGACGTCCGAATCTCCTCCTCCTCCTCCTCCTGCTCCAGCTCCGTGCCCTGGCCGCGTGGCCTGATCGTACTGCTTCCTCTTGCGTTCCACCCCCGTCTCTTTGGAGGCAGGCTTACCCAGCGTCCAGCTTCGAGCTTCCAGCTTCCTCCGACATCGTCCTCCGACATCGTGCTCTTCTGGGGACGTGGGCTCCAGAGTTCTCGACCCCATCCCTGGGAACAGCTCTTTGGCCGTGGGCCCCTTCTGTGATGGCCCCGGGGCCCGATGGCGGCCCCTAGACGCCAGGATCGCGAACAGAGCGGCCGTCGTGCTCCTGTGCTGTTCTCTGCGACGCCTGGAGGTCTGCTCTAGAGGGCGGCTCAACATCGCCTCCCGGCCTCTCCCGGAGCACGCGCTGACCACGATCTCGACTCCGGCTTCGGCGACAGGAGCCCCTGGCGACAACCGACGAGAGAAAACCGTTGGGCGCCGAAAGACGATCGATGACGGCGACCGACGAACCTCGACCCTCAACGTCGCGTTCCAGACCTCTCCAAGGGCGCGTTTCGACGAGGATCTTCAAGGGACTCCAGCCGTGGTGACGAGAGGCCACCTGGAGGCCCCAGGAAGGCGGACCCCCCCTCTCTGATCCCGATCCTCGATCCTCGATCTTCGAACCTCGAATCCCGTACCTCGACACTCACACCTCGGGCCTCGGTGCCGCCCAAGCCCTTGAAGTCGCTGCTCGGGACAACAGCGTGAGCTTCGCTGAGGGTGTGCGCGCCCCGCGGGACTGCCGACGTGTCCTGGTCGATCTCCAGAACCACCTCTGGGCAGAGGAGGCCGCCCCCGACGCCTCGTGGAGCGCGCTGGCCAGGATCTCGAGGCGACTCCGGCCGCGGCCACGAGGAGCCCCCCAAGGAGGCGAAGGAGGCAGATGGTCGGGCCTCGGGGGGCCGTTCGGGGCGTTTCCGGCGCCCCCAGGAAGCTCTCGACGAGGCGCAGCCGCTCTCGACGAGGCGCAGATGTCCCTCCCCCTCCGAGCCGCCGCAGGCGCCTGCGCCAGCAGGTCGGCCTCCGTTAGCTTCGGGGGGCCGTCGGCGGGGGGCGCCTCGCCCTCCTCGGCCTCGGCGGGCTCTTCCTCGGGGCTGGGCCAGGCACGTGCTCCGCCTCCCACGTCCCTTTCCGTAGGGGTGGCTCCCTGCTGTCGCACCGCCAGACGTGTCCGTAGGACGGGCCGGGCGTTCCGCTTGAGACTTCCTTGCGCACGGGCATCCTGAAGCTAAGCGAACTCCAGCAACTACAGGGATAGAGGGTCGGTCGTTTTCAAAATGAGGATCTCGATTTAGAGGCTTCCAGCAGTTACCAGGATGGATGGATGGCAGGTGGCTTTCAACCTGCGGCTCTCGCCTTAGCTCCGCGCGCATGCGATGAACATATTACCAGTGGGTGCAGCGATGGAGAGGTGGTGGTTTTCAAAATGCTGCTCTCGCCCAGGCGCCGCGCGCATTCACCTAAACTAGTTCCAGCACTTGAACATCTTGAGGCCGGTTCGTTTTCAAAAGGCGGCTCTAACTGGAGACTTCCTCAATCTCTCTGACCCGAAATCCCGAATTGTGCAACATCTACACGGATGGATGTCAGGACACTCGTCTTAAACAGCCAAAGAGTTCAACGAATGGAAAGAATCTGTCATTCAAACTTCAGTTCTCCGCATAGCACCGAGCAAAATTCCAGAAAGAACTTACAAGACTTACTCGAATAATGGAGGCCAATTCGTTTTCAAAATGCGGCTTTCGCTGGATACGTCCTCAAGCTCTATGACCCGGAATTCCAAGTGCGGCTCTTTTTCAAAATGGGGCTCTCGTTTGAGGCTTCCGCATATTCGCCACCGATCCTGCTCGGAGTGGGCGTCTCAGAACTGTTGCCTGGTCATGTTTTTATGCTTTCTAAGGCCGACCCCCCCCCTCTGATCGCACGCCCCCCCTGAAAACCGCCCCCCGTGGATTTGCTCTCCGGCGTTCCGTTCTTGTCGGCCTCAAGGCGGCCAATATTGCCTCTAAGACGGTTTCCAAGGCAGCCAAGATGACACCAAAACAACCCAAGATGGCCCCAGAGCGCTGAAAAGGCTCCTAAGCCCGCTTCAAGACATTCCAAGAGGCCTCCAAAGCGGCCCGAGAGCGCTCCAAGATGCCCTCTGGGAGAGCGACGAGGCGAACACCGTTGAGTTTCCTGAGGTTTTCAAAAATTCGGAGGTTCTCGCCTGTTAGTGTTTGCCACCGCCCAGGGTGGCTCTATAGAGGGCCCCAAGTCGGCCCAAGAGGTCCCCAAGAGGCCCCCAAGGGGTCCCCAAGCGAGGCACTCAAAACGCCCCAAGAGACTCTGAAGACCGCCAAGAGGCCCCCAAGACGTCCCAAGAGGCTTCTACGAGGCCCACAAGGCGTCCCAAGAGGCCCCCAAGAGCCGCCTGGAGGCCACCCAAATGCAACAAGGGGCCTCCAAAAGAGACTTCGAGAGCCATCCCAAGAGACTCCGGGAGGCATCCAAGAAGCCTCTGGCCCACGGAAGCTCCCCGAACTCTCCGCATGATGCCACGCTCCCCCGATGTCTGCAGCTCCTCTGGGCATCGCTCCTGGATGGGCTGGTAGGGATACCCGACGCGTTAAGAACTCAGTCTCCTTCCTGCTACGCTATTGCACAGGCACGGTGGCGGGGGTTGCCGCAGACACTTTCGAACCTGTTCAACACCTACACGGATGGAGAGCACACCGTTTTTAATACACGGATGTCGCTGGACGCGCCCTTCAACTGTAACAGCCGGCCTCTTTGTGTTTCCTTTCGCAGGGAGGATGGAATGTGTACCCTCTACAGCACGGGGTCTCGTCTGAGTGGCAGCAGGCCCACCAGGAGGTCGTCATTCAAGGGGGGGCTTATGACGAGAGCACTTGGGACGGGAGCGTGCACTACAGCATCCTGGGCTTACTCTGGTCCTCCGTTCTCCTCCCCTCCTCAGTTCCTCCTACTCCTCCTTCCTCTTCCTCATCCCCTGCCTTCTCCTCCTCCTCCTCGCCCTCCTCATCCTCCTCTCTTGTCCTCGTCGTCGTCGTCCTCCGCCTCCTCCTCCATTCCTTCTCCTTACAGATAACTCCTCCCTGTCGCACCCCGAGGCCAGTTTTTAGGGCGGGCCGGGCGCTTCGCCTGAGACTTCTTCACCGTTCATGACTCTAAGCTTCAAAGCGGAAACAGTTTCACAGATATGCGGCGGGCCATTTTTAAAATGTGGCTCTCGCCTTAGCGCCGCGCACATTCGCTGTAAAACTTTGCAAACGTTTCACGGATTGAAGGCGGTTCCTTTTCAACATGTGGCTCTCGCCTTAACGCCGCGCGCATTCATTTTAAAACTTTGCAAGCGTTTCACGGCTTGAGGGCGGTTCCTTTTCAAAATGTGGCTCTCGCCTTAGCGCCGCGCACATTCGCTTAAGAAGAACTGCAAGAGTTTCACGGATTGAGGGCGGTTCCTTTTCAAAATGTGGCTCTCGCCTTAGCGCCGCGCACATTCGTTTTCAACATTTGCAAGAGTTTCGCGGATTCTCATGATTAACGTACCAAAAACATGATTTGGGACAGATTCAGGATTATGCGGGTGCTACAGTTATGTCGGTTCGCGGTGTCGAAGTCCCAAAAATGACACTCTTGCACGATTCCAGATCGTCAAGACGCAGCAGTCAGGTTGATGCATGGCGTTGAAATCCCTAGAACAATGTTTTGGCATGTTTCAGGATCTTCAATCGGTTGTCTTCCAACGAGGCAGTATCCTAAATGGACATGAACCGTTGTGGGGGCCTATGGAGAGGGAGCTTGGAGTGAGGGTCAATTCCAACATCGTTGATGACTCTTTGTTTTACACTGGTCCTCCTCCTCCTCCTCCTCATTCCACTTCCTCCCCTTGCACCCCGCCTCCTCCCCCGTCTCCCCCCACCTCCTCCTCTTCCTCCTCCTCCTCTTTCCATGCCTTCCCCGCCCCTGCCTCATCCCCGTTCTCCTCGTTCTCTTCGTCTTACTGCTCCTCCTCCTCCTCCTCCTCTTCCTCCTCCCTTGCCTCGCTCCCCCAAAGATGTTCAATCCACGGATCCTCGCCCGCGGGTCCCTGGCCCGGCAAGACCGTCGTCGGCACGCCCGTGAACGGCTTGTCCGCTGCGAGCTCGAGGACCTTGGCGGCCATCTCCTTGGTTGGCGTGCTGAGGCGCCTGAAGTCGAAATCAGCGCCAGCGAAGAAGAACGCCTTGGTGGGAAACTCGAAGTCGGAGACTCCCAGGCAGTACGCGATATAGTAGTCGCTGGTGAGGCCGAATATCTTGCCCCAGAAATAAACCTCGGTGCATTTCTCGTTGACCTTCAGCAAGTTCAGGGCTGCCTGCACGCCTGTCAACTCTTGGCAGTTCAGCACGTTGCCTCCCGAAGCGATCGACTTCAGGCTGGGCTCCAGGTCGAACAATTCCATGGCCACTGGAGGGTGCAGGCGCTCGGACAGTGCCACAAAAAACTAGCGCTCAGAGTCCAAAAGCTGCTGCCCTTGAGCCAAAATCGCTGGATAACGAAGCGTCGATATACTGACCCGTGACTTTGACAATGAACACATGTTGAACTACTGAGCTCTTGCCGTTAACCGCCACCCATGACCGGTGCAACCATAGCGGAGCATCCACGACTCTGATCGAGCGCCGTCGGGCGCAAGGCTTGGGACTTGACCGACGTGACCAGTGCAGGACACAGTGGGTCACAGTGGGCAACTGAGAACCAAGCGAAATTGTGACCACAGAAAGCTATTCGACAACTCCCAACCGCAACTGCATTGATGAGGATACCTTGCGGCTGGCACCACAGACGAAGCAATGGACATGAATACGCGCACACATTCAAGGACTTGCGAGCACAAGCGCCAACATTCAATCAGCACATCCATGATGCAAGGATCTCAGTATACTTCACTTCGCCATGTGCGCTCATGTCGTTGAATAATGAGGGGCGGCGTCCATGAGGGGGGCGTCCAAGAGGGGGACTCGCAAATCATGACCCGAAGCATGTTCGCGGACGAAGTGGGGACCAGGGGACGCATTGAAAGAAGAAGAGGAAGCTATGACATCCGGAGCGATTTCATGGCCCTGGTCATGGCATCGCCCCCCCCCCCCCCTACCTCTAGCCATCACCTCCCTCTTGGCTGGCCCGGAAAGAAACACTCCACGCGTTTTTGTCTCAAATGCTGCTCTGGGTCTGTGTGGGCAAGCACGTTTTCCATGTGGGCGGGTGAGCGCGCATTGGCGGCCGCCCACGTCCACGGCCAGAGGCGCTCCTTGGCGCCACTGACGCTGGTCTGGAGAGGCAGTGACCAAACGGGGGGCGAGTCAAAATATTACAGGGCATACATGCAGTGGGCCGCGGTCGTGCGTTGACTGTTGCGCGCCCACTGCGATGAGCAGGATAGCTCGATAAGGGAATAACTCATCCCCAGCATAAGTTATACAGGCTTGAAAGATCTGCTCGATAAACAAAAGAATCCAAACTCGCTCGTTCGGGTTGACCTTGTTCACGGATGGCAGCCCAACGCGCGGTCGCGCAAGCAACGACACTCGAACAACCTGGGAGGTATTCAGCAGGCGACACTCCTCTGTCCTTCTTCTCCTTCTTCCTCCTCCTGTCCCTCGCCCGCTGGCGCTAATCTTCCGTTGGAGAGGCGGTGAAGCAAAGCGGCAGGACCACCGCATTCAAAGCGGCGGCGGGGCAGCGGGGCGCACGGGAGGGCGGAGCCGGAGGGTACAGTGCGGGGAGGAGGGAACAGGATTCGCCCCCCCCATGGTTTCGGCACCTTTCGCTTCTCTCGGGGACTGCCGGGCTGGGGGGGGCCTTGTCGCCACGGCCGCATCCGCCTCGAAACTCTGGTCAGAACGCGCCGCGGGACATGTCCCAGGGCTGTCATGTGGATGAGGAGGGGGGGAGGAGGAGGAGAGGAGGAGGAGGACGACGCGGATGAATGAAGCTGAGGAAAAGAAGCCTGGCGAGGATAAAACGACGACACCCCTGCGGCAGAAGACCCTGAACATCTTCATACAATTCACGATGGGGGGCCACTATGAGGGGCCACGATGGACTACCGACTTCTGGGGCCCAACATCTCTCACCGAGCGATAGAAGCATTATGCGGAGACCTTGCAGACAAGCATTTTGGGAAACGTAGTTTTTTTTCACAACCTGAAGCTTTCCCCAACCATCCTGTGGTGTTGGGTCCTCGTTTTGAAAAAACTGCGCCCCGCGTTCCTCCTCCTCCTCCTCCTCCTCCCGCTGCCCCCTCCTCCCTCCCCTCCCTCCCGCTCCTCTGCCCATTCCTGTACGCCCTCACACGGCTCGTGGCCCCATAGGGAGCTCCACCGAAGGCCCCAGTGGCAGGGTTTGCATGCAGTTCCACCCTCATTTCGGCGCACCCCTCGCACGGTTCGTGGCCCCATAGGGAGCTCCACCGAAGGCCCCAGTGGCAGGGTTCGCATGCAGTTCCACCCTCATTTCGGCGCACCCCCCACACGGTTCGTGGCCCCATAGGGAGCTCCACCGAAGGCCCCCGTGGCAGGGTTCGCATGCAGTTCCACCCTCATTTCGGCGCACCCCTCACACCGTTCGTGGCCCCATAGGGAGCTCCACCAAGGGGCCCCAGCGGCAGGGTTCGCATGCAGTTCCACCATTTCGGCGCACCCCCCACACGGTTCGTGGCCCCATAGGGAGCTCCACCGAAGGCCCCAGCGGCAGGGTTCGCATGCAGTTCCACCCTCATTTCGGCGCACCCCTCACACGGTTCGTGGCCCCATAGGGCGCTCCACCGAAGGCCCCAGTGGCAAGATTCGCATGCAGTTCCATCTTCTTTTCGGCGCACCACCCAAACAGTTCGTGGCCCCATAGGGAGCTCCAAGAAGGGGCCCCAGCGGCAAGGTTCGCATGCAGTTCCATCCTCTTTTCGGCGCACCCCTCACACGGTTCGTGGCCCCATAGGGAGCTCCACCGAAGGCCCCAGTGGCAGGGTTCGCATGCAGTTCCACCACACGGTTCGTGGCCCCATAGGGAGCTCCTCCGAAGGCCCCAGCGGCAGAGTTCGCATGCAGTTCCACCCTCATTTCGGCGCACCCCCCACACGGTTCGTGGCCCCATAGGGAGCTCCACCGAAGGCCCTAGTGGCAAGGTTCGCATGCAGTTCCATCATCATTTCGGCGCACCCCTCACACGGTTCGTGGCCCCATAGGGAGCTCCACCGAAGGCCCCCGTGGCAGGGTTCGCATGCAGTTCCACCCTCATTTCGGCGCACCCCTTACGATGATCGTGGCCCCATAAGGAGCTCCACCGAAGGCCACAGTGGGAAAGTTCGCATGGCGGCCTAACTCTCATTTCGGCGCACCCCTCACACGGTTCGTGGCCCCATAGGGAGCTCCATCGAAGACGATACTCACAACTGCGGCACTCACAACTGCACATGGTTGGGTCCTTCGCCAGGCTAATTTCACTCTCCCGGGCTCTTGGCACCCTCGCGAAACTTGTTCCAGCCTCTCCTCCTCCTCCTCCTCTTCTTCCTCCTCCTCTTTATCCCGTTCCTCACTCGTCCTCCGCCTTCCTCCGCCTTCTCCCTGATCCTTTTCCTCTCGGTCTTTCTGTCTCTTTCCCCCTCCTCCTGCTTCTCCATCTCCTCCTCCGTCTCCGAAGGGGGGCGAGAAACGCTTGCCCAAACTTGTCTGCAGAAACGCCGTGGTAGTTATCTGAACAGCATGTCGTCTGAAGTCCTCCAGCTGGCGAACGCGACCCCCAATGTATTCCTGTAGTGCAGATACCCGCCGACCCCTTTGGGGTCTCGAGGCGTGTGAGATTCCTCTTCCCCCGTGGTCCCCCCCACCTGGTCCCAAATTACAAGTTTGAGGTTTTGGGGGTGGCTCGCCCAATGTCACCCCGGGTCGGGCTCACCCGGGTTTTTTCCCGCCGACAAGGGTCTCCAGACGAGCCACGAGGGCCTCCCCAAGACGGTCAAAGGTGGATAACCCACCGGCCCAGAAGGCCACATGAGGGGCCGAAGACGGCCCAAAAGGGCCCCACAGGGCCCTAAAATGACCCGAAGAGGCCCAAGACGGTCCAAGAGGCCTCCAAGACGGCCCAAGGACCCCAAGAAAGCCCCGAGGCGGCCCAGAAAGGCTTCCCAAATGGCTTCCGGAGAGGCCAGACGGCGCGAGAGCGCCCCAAGACTGCCCAAGAGGCCCCCAAGAGGTGCCCAGGAGGCCTTACAACGACTGGATTGCACGTGCTCCAGACGTGCACCCCGCAAAGCGAGAGGAATCTAAAATGGTGCGCGACTGCTCCCAAACCGACGCGAGGATGGAACGAGACAGTAGAGGAGGGGTACACCGTATCCAGCCGAGCGGCCAACCACTAATTCAAACGATCCCTTGAAATCATCCTGCCGATAGCTCCCACAGCGTGGGAGTAGGAAAAAGAGGCAACAACACGATCGTCATAATTCTTGACTGCCGTAGCGGGGCTGCCTCAAAGAGCGGCTGTGAAGGCGCCTCGGCGCTGCGTGTCCAGGGCGCACACAGAGCTGCTGCACTGAGTTCTCTGGCACCCGATGTCGAATTGTGCACGTGAGCGGCCGTGCCTGGGTATGCAGCAGAGGCCGTGTGTGTTCAGCAAGGCTCGCTAGACCTGTTTCGAGCTTAACCGAGACGACGTCCGTCGCGCACAGGAGCTGTCTTGAACATTGCCTATTCGGCAGGGGCAGTGGCTGCTAAGCAAGGTGTTCTCCACTTCCTCGTCGAGGGCGGCCCCTGGCGCTGCACACAGACGGCGCTCAACAAAGGGGTTCACGAGGAGAAAGAGGAGGGGGAAAAGATCAACCGGCCACGCGGGAATGATCTAGACCAGAAAAACTTGCGCAGCAGTCATTTTAGGCCGTGCCTTGAATGGCGCTCCTCGCCATGTTGACACATGGAGAAACAATGCCAATGAAGACTACTGCTGGTGTCTCCACAACAAAGTCTGGTGGCATATGAAAGGTCGCTCGAGCTTGCCACGGTCGCTGGATGCTCCATTTTCAAAGGGTACGCCACGTAAGCTGGTGGAGGCACCGCGAGTTTTGCCAGGTGGCTCGGGCCGAGTTCCAGACGACAGCTGGGCTCGCAGGGAGGGCGCGAAATTCCTCCTCCTCCTCCTCCTGTCTGGAAATCGCTGGAGGCCTCCTCGAACGCCCAGAGGCCTGCCCCGAGGCCCGAACGAGAAGAACCCACGTCCAGAAAGCCTCGATCCTGGACCCCGCTCTCCTCCTCCCCCCCCTCCTCTCTCTCTCCCTCCCCCTCCTCCCCTCCCCCCCCTCCCCCACCTCCCCTCCACCTCGCCGCCCTTCAGCCAGCAGTGGGAAGGCCCACGCCGCCGCCAGAGCGATGGCGCCGCCTGGGCCCCGCTCAGGAGAGCACCGCCGCGAGCTCCCGGGGCGCCCCGCCGCCGCTCGCCGTGGCAGTGAGCACTCCGACTCCGACCCGCAGCTGGGGCCAGTCCTTCGGGATGAACGCGGCGAGAGGGTTGCGCCGCTCGGGGCTGCGCTCCTGGAGGCCTGCCCAACTGGCCGGCGCCGCAGACCCGGAACCCAAACACGCGGACGTCGCACTCAGGCGTTTGCGCCGCCTTCCGCTGGCGGACCCGCCGCCGTTTCACTTCCGCCGCCTTCCGCAGAGGGCGAGGCGCGCCGAAGGCGAGGCCCTGCGGGGCGGGAATGGGCGGGGTCGGAGGATCGCGCCGCATCGCCGATGCATGGCGCCGCATCGCGATGCATCGGTCGGCAGATTTTGCACCGCCTCGCCGGCGCTTTGGCGACGCGGCGCGATCCTCCGGACCGTTATTTGGGCGGACTGGAGCTCCAGCTGGGGCTGGCGCTGCCTCTGCGCCTCTGGCGATCGCTCGGTCGTCCTCTGCAGGTCTACGGGCTGGTCCCAGAAGAAGCGGAGGATCGAAGCCTGCGGCTTCAGACGCACTGTGTCGTCCGCAATGTCGACCTCCAGCACGAGAGCATCGAATGTCGCACGCGCCATCCGCTTCAGGCACCCGAAGACGAAGGAGGTGCCCCTGTTCAGCACCGCCTCGTCGTACTCTATCGCCTGGGCCGGGTCGGTGCACCGCAGCAGCGCCCGCTTCACGCCTGGCCTGCCATGCACAGGTTCGAAGGTCATGCCGCCCTGGAAGCGGATCCAGCCCTCGCTGCCGCCGGCCTTGGAGTCCAGGCTCCTCACCTCGAGCTCAAACCTGTCGCCCTCGAATACGGACAACGCCGTCGAGACCGCCGCGCCAGTGTCGCCCCACTGGGGGAGCAAAAGGATGCTGATGCCGCTGATCTCTGGGCCTCTGCCCGGGTGCGGTCTGACCAGGCGAATCCAGCCGTGGTGACGAGGCCCCTCCAAGAAGCCCCCAAAAGCAAAAAAAAAGAGGGAAGGGGAAAGCATCGGACTTGGAATGTCTTTCTGCCCTGCTCCGCAGCAACACCTGCTGGTCGCTCCGGTATGTCGACCCCGCCCTCAAGTACGGCCTCTCCACCATCCTCCGGAGCACCGCGGTGGCCGCGGAGATCCCCTCCTCGCTCGGCGCGCGCGCCCCCCTGCTGGGCGCCGACTTCCCCAAGAAGATGACGTCGGGATCCCGCGCGGC